AAGATTCCTGTGTTGAGATAACAAGACTACATTTAATTATTTGGTAAGAAAGTTCAGGATAGTTCAGTTGGATAAATCATAAAACAAAAGGAAATACTGGGTTCTGCCTTGAGACATGTAATAACAGAAATCCAGTTTTACCAGCAGGAGCAATATGCTTCTAACAAAAGCAAAGGTCAACACAGAAAAATCAGCTAATGTGCAGCACATAAATGCTGATTTCTAAAGACAGCTGAAAGTATTTTTTTAAGAGTCTCAGCAATTTTTGCTCTCAGTTATCTGCCCACTAACTTACCTACTTTCATAAGGATCTTTTAATTCTCTTTCAATAACATGATGCAACACAACTGATGGATACAACATGGAAAACAAGTGTAACACCTTGTTCCTATGTATTATGAAAGTGGGTCTTCTTTGCTTATTTTTTGCTCTCTGTACAAGTACTGTATTTCAAATGCTTTCTTAATTTCAGACACTACAAACATACCATGTAAAAACCAAAACTAAATATGAAAGCAAATATTTATATACTTTAAAATATCTGCTTCCACTTAATAGAGCAATACTTGCATGAACTGTATTTTAATAAAGCACATTACACCATATCTCAGTGTATGTTTTGAAACTACTGAAGATTAAATATATCGCATTCAATTTCGCCGCAAGTACATAGCCACAATATCCTAGTTTCACAACATTTTTAAAGAACATGGATATTGACACGGGCTTTGCTTTTCATCAAGTAAACACATTTTAAATGCGTCTTTTGACACACAAGATCAAGAGACTACACCAAAACGATGTTATTTGAACTGAAGAATCAAGCATTCAAAAATAAGAGAAACCAGAGAGTTTTCACAACTAACGCTGCAACTCTTCCCCTTTGTGTATCCATCCTATTCATTGGATAAGGCAGCTGTTATAAAGCACAAGGATGAGCAGCAACAAGGAAAATAAAAATCCACAACAAATGGAGCAGAGCCAGTACAAGATAACTAACAGACAAGAAGCTAGATTTAGATTGTCAAGTCAGCCCTTCAAGTCAGGATTTCCTAACTTGGAAATTCTGGACCTGAAATCGAAATAAAATACTTTTAGTATTTTATTGGGGGGGGAATCATTTATCTACTAGGCAAAATTCAACTATCATACATCATCAGCGGTATACGAACCCTGCAAGGACAAATTTGCCACTCTCTTCAGACAAACTGGCTGCTGGCAGCGGGAGGCGGCTTTTTGGACTACCATTTGCCAATAGGTGCAGGTACTGTCTGTCCCTCCAATACAGACATGCAGTTTGAGGGAGCGTCCTTCCCCACTCACCCCCTCATTAACACAGCTGCTCTGACACTTCCCAGAAACACGTGACTTTTAGACCAAGTTCATTTCTGCCTTTTCAAAAAAAAAAAAAAAAAAAAAAAAGCTGATGAATGCAAGCAGTACAATGTAAGCAACTATCTTCAACAGTTTTATATTTCAAGAAAAATTCAATGGAATTTTTCAAAGGCAGGGGAAGCAAGCATTTATCTCCTATCATCAATGGTTAAAAACTTCTGATCCTAGACTCTTAATCTCTAGTTCACGGATGATAGTCTGAGAGGCCATATAATGAGATTACAAATGACCAACAGAATGACACTATCTATGTAATTTAACAGCAAAAAGCTTAAGAGTATAACAATTGCGTAAGAAATTCTGGTAACTGAGAAGTGTACAGCTCTCAAAATAGTTCAAAGCAGTAGTGTAGAAACCTGACCTACAGATACGATGATACAGAAATTCAGGAGGTACAGCAAGTCATGTAGAAATTATGAAGTATGTTGTTCTACACCAGTCTTTTTAACATATCTTGAACATTTAGATGTTTCTGAAAACAGAATTGTTACAAATGGTGTTATTAAAATGCCCCGTCTTTATTTGTATACACTCACTATCCAGGTGAGGAAACAGCATATAATCCTTCCACTTTAAACTAAACGTAAATGGCAAGGGGGTTTTCCTCGAGCTTCAGCAGGTGTGCTCAGGGGCTGCATCCACCAAGTATTTTCCTCCTCACTATCATCTTCGTATTTCTATACTTCTCCAGCTACCAGCTCTAAAGAACCAAATACATGCCAAGGAGACATATAGTCTAGTTGTCAATCATTAAGAAAGTAAACCAGACATCTCCATGTGTGCCTCAGTTTCCAGAGATGTTGAAAACATGTTCGTTTCAAATTCTTTAGGAAAAAAGCACTAGTGTTTAAACACCAAGCATGTATGTTTCAATTTAAATAGCTTCATTGCTCTTCCTTGAGATGTCTGGAAAGGCAAATCATGTTTCAGCTCCAAAGGAAAAAAAGTGCATTAAAAAACAGATTAGAGAAAAGGGATCATTTAAATGAAGACTGCTGCAAAATGATCCACATTGTTCGTTATTAATTCATGGGTATGTATTTGACTCTTACAGACACAAAAGTTTTTCTAAAGGAAAAAAAAGAATAGCAAAAGAAAATTAGACAACCAAGATTTGGGTCTGCAGCATAACCACTTTTCCTTTCAATATGCTCTTTCTGTTTTGCTTTTAGTTCAGGTATCAGTTTTCTAGGACTAAGCACATTCACACTATGAAGTACTTAAGCAAGAGCCTCTTTCAGCTGAAGACACATAATTTATAATAAAGCTTAACTTTAAAACAGTTTTAAACTGCACCCATTTTTTACACTTCTGACATAGAATACAGGAACTATACTTGTGTCCAGTAACATGAAACCGAGCATAATCAGAAGAAAGCTGAATCTCTTTGCAGTCTTGAAAAGAAATTTAGTTGTTATTAAAAAAAAAAAAAGTCTTTATATTTCTTTTCCTGGCATCTAATAACATTGTTAAAAAAAAACCAACAACTGATGATAATATCCTTTTAGGGTCTGGCTTTTATGAAAGTTACCAATGGAAAGAATTGCCAGAGGTACAACTGAGAATTTACATTCTAATCCTCAACTCTCACTTAAAGTTCTTTTTTACTTTGCCTTAAAAATACAAAACAAAAACACACTACACCACCAATCAGAATTGTCCTAATTAAGACAAAGCCTAATTCTTTTACACAAACTCCTCCCTCCCATGGACAACAGTACATGTTTAAATAACAGTATTAGTTGCTTACTGTCAACTTAAGCTTTTCTGCAAGGCATCACTAAACAGAAATACCATTTTACCAAGCAAATCATAACAGAGAACAGCGCAATTGATCTGATGTTTGTAAACACTACACAAGAGCTAAAGGCTGTTCGTCAAAGTCAGTCAATAAGTAGCTACTTGCATTAACAAAACTTATTATGGGAAAGGACTGCAGTCTGAAAACAAGTCCACCACCCGAGACTTAGGAGTCAGCTTTCAACAAAGCATGGTTTATTTGTTTTATTTTAAGAGCCCTCACTGTTGGAGCAGAGTCCTGTCACAGTACAGCTAATGAACCTGCACATGGAAGTATGCCTGTTTTGACAAAATTCCTAAACTACTGTTCTTAAATCAGCAAGACTTTAATTCAAGGGATAAACGAACACATTGATGTTGTAAATGCTAGAAACAAAACCAATACTTTATAAAGACAAACTTGGGTTTAGTCCCAATACTCCAATTTTGCATTTCTCAGCCCAGTACATTATGTCTCAAATGTTCAGCAAAGCCAAAACTATCTTTCTACCACAGAGCTTTCTGTCATTGCTCAAATCCCAGAAAAAAATTATTTCCACTGTTGAAATGCACAACTCAGATTAAGTGAAAGAAATCTGAAGAGATGCTACTGTTCTTTTAAATTAAGATATAGCTAACTGAAGTTCATGCTGAGTTTTTTAACTGCTGAAATAAAGATATTAAAAAAATCTTTGTTTTGCTCCAATTCTATTACTTATGAAAACATCACCTGAAACATCCCTGCTTTCTGATGTACCACTTCACCAGCCTCACCAGAACTAGAGCCATCTACCAGCCCTCCCAATCACCACTTAAAATACAAAACCATGGCATGTTAAATGCAAAGAGCAATTTCAGTTCTGTTGTTCATGCTTTATATTTGCACTCACATAACAAAAGCTCCTGCAAGAACTGCAAAAGACAGACTAATATAAAAATCACCTTAAGCAGAACTTCTTACAAAGTATAAATTCGTAAGAAAAAACAAGACTAAAACTCTTTGTCACATGCATTAATTCATTTTTGTTCAAACATAAACGCTTAGTATTACTAAATTTACAGGACACATATTTGATAGCATCATTGAACAGAAGGGCACTTTCATTTCAGGTTCCATGACTAAGAATACATTAGCCACCTAACTTATCATCATTTACTTGCTAACTTTTCTAAAAATTGTGCAAGGTACCAAATTCATCCAAGCCTTGATAAACACTACTGCATTTGCAAAAGGAAAAACGCAAATTTAGGAAAAACCTGCTGAAAAGTCACTCTGCCCCACAAGGAAAATAATTCATGGAGGGTTTTTTTTGTACTACTTACATAGATCTTACGGTGCAAGTTTATACTAAATTTAGGTGAGACGAACAAGATACAAATCTTATATATGCAAATGTAATTTTCATTTTGGGGCTCTTAAAATGAGGAGAATAACTTCGGATTCCCTAATTACAAATACAGTTAACCTTGAGCTTGGCCATTTTTTTAATATGAAGGTCAACTACACATGCTATTCTAAATTCAGTGGTTAATTCTCAAAAGTACAGCAAACGACAACAATGGAACACTCAACGCGATTTGATCAAAAAAAAAGTTTCTGAGGACAAGACAGACCATTTACTAATTTCTCTAGGGAAGTTACTGCTTTTTTTTATGCAACTTCACAAAAGTACAATGTACATAATTTACAGTAATCCTCCGAGTATGGCCTTCAAGGAAAGCATACAAGAAATGCACAAAACCTGAAAGTCAGCATCTAAAAGCACTGGTTTAAAATTAAACATGTAATTAAGTAAAGGTTTCTCTCACTTGGATGCTTTGCTTACCTCTGGGGGGGGATATAAGGAGCAGATACCGTTGGCATAACTGTACAGGGTTCAACCACTGTTTTCTTGGCTTTTTTTGTCTTTTTTCTGACTTTTGATGTAGACCTAGCAGTTCTGACTGATCCTTCCTTTCTACAAACACCGTTTTTGATTTCAGCTTCTCCATAAATATTTAGAGGTCTCCGTGTGCAACCTGGTGGAGTATGTACATCGCAATAGGCAGTCTTTTTTACAGAGAATGTTGTCCCACTGCCAGTTAGTTCTTTCACAGGTTCCATTTTCATATACAGACCGGCCTTTTGAGCACACGTCACATGGAATGCAGTATAGCAGTTTGCTTTGTGGCACTGGATGCAGGCACCAACACCTTTCTGTTTACAGAGGTAGCATGTTAACTTCCATCTGGCTGGGGGAATGTTCCTGACACCATCAATTGGCTCAATAAAAACTGTATTGGCAAATCCAACTTCTGGAATCCACAAAGCACACACAACGTGTCCCCAACGATCATCATCAGTCTTTTTAAAGGCACCTCCCTTGTTTGGGCACAGCACACAGTCTACAGGCCGAGAACGGGACTGCAGACAGTGTCTGCAGAGCCACTGGCCCTCAGGTATATATGGCACCCCATAGCATTCCTGATGTACTGCTAAATTACACATATCACAAAACAGGATTACATTGCTGTTCTGACATTCACCATCCATGCATATACAACACACTGCATCTTCATCAATTAACGACTGATGATCACCCTGTTTTTGGTTCTCACAATAAGACTCTTTTTCAAACCTATCCATAAGGAATTCAAACATATTTTGTGAAACAACTGACACTCCATCACTCTTCCGCTTCTCATTTATTATTTCTAACCACGCATAATCTTCTTCATCCATGTCATACTCAACTTCGTTATCAAGTTCTTCTGCTGACTTCTCAATGAATTTGTAATAAACCGGAGGTCTCCGAGGAGCCGAAGGGGGACTGTATTCAACAATCCGTACTTTTGGTTCTGGAAGAGGAGTTGTTGTAGCAGGTATACCATGTGAGCTTGGAAGAGCTTCATTTTTCTTTTTCACTTTGTTATTTTTATGCCGTTTGCTTCTTAGACAAACTGGTGGTCTTTCACTATTTTCTTTATTGCTGTTGCATTCACTCATTTCCTGGGCTGTAAGATCATCTTCCAATATAATCTCTAAAGGATCAAAGATACTGATCCTATGCAGGCGACCTTCAATTTCTATTTCAACCATTCTTTGAGCTTGAGCGTATGTCAAGGTTTCTCGTGTGGGGGAGTGCTTAATACTGCATGGGGAAGAAGAATGCCTTGCTGCCGATACTCGATGACATCTTCCTTTTCTCCTCATTTGGTAATGTTTACCTAAAATTAGAGGAACAGTTAATATTATGAACTCCAAACATTCATATTAAAATATTAGTTTTATTATAGCAAGAAAAAAACCTTTCAGTTCTATAGCCCCCAACCTATCTACTCAATTAGGGAAAAAAAAAAAAAAAGCCTATCGCCCTTACTTAATAGGATTGCTCATGCCGTTTTGTACAAATTTAACCTAATGATAAACAGATCTCCTAAATAACAGCTTCTCCATGTAAACACAGCTATATAAAATCCTTGATACAAAAATCCTACAGAAGAGCTATCTGTAACACCTCTGCATGAGAAAAAAATGTTTCAGAAGTGCCACAGAAAAAAAAAAATTACACTTGTTACATTGTAAGAAAACCTTTTAATACAATACTTCCTAATACCTTAAGGGTGTTTGCAGTTTGAAATTTTTTTCAACAGCTACAGATTACTTTCTCCAGATCTTCCCCCAGAAGAACTAACATAATTGTGAAAGAACAAGTTTTCCCCACATTTTTTTACAGTGCAATTTGACATAGTCACGTTAACAACTCAATTACTACAGCTATACTTAAAGCTAGAAAACGATGCATACTTCCAAATTCGGCAAGTATGCAGTCTGACAGCCCTTTACTTTTATTTTTCTCAAGTCTCAGTAAGCCTATTATTCTTTACAAAATTATAAGAACACAATTGAACTCACAGTGCCCAATACAGCGCAGTATGGACTGCAACTAGGAAATATTTCACCTATACGGCAGATTTGACTTAAGAGTGAAAACATGCTCCCTGCATCTAAGTGTGCATGTACACACACCCTCCTCCCTCAACAGTTTCTTCAAGAGTTGTTCTCGAAGCAACTGGGGTGGATAAAAATCTCCCTGTCTTTAAATCCAATTCCAAGCTCTTTAACGTAATTTTGAAGTTTATAACTTACTGGAAAAAGATAATTCCACATACCATACATAGCTTTTTCCCACCACCATGAAGCACCATGACTAGGACAAGCATGCATTTTGATCACAAAATTTCTGATTAAAAGCTTCCATACTTAACGCCTTTTGACATTTTAATGTCGGTTTTGTGGGTTTTTTTTCCTTATGAGGGTTGAAAACATTATAAAACCAATGCATAAGGTCAAGTTTAAAAGTTCTACACCCCTCCTTCCTTCTTCCTAATAAATCATTAATAAACAGCAAAATTCAACCTCAGCTAAATAAAAAACTGCTCTTTAATCACTGGCTTAAAATATTATTAGGGCCTCACTGTTTTAATTCTGCACTTCAGGTCAGTGTTGTGTCTTAGTTAAAATAATGCAACGAGTGTTAGCATGTATTGCCAAAATAGCAGAGGAATATAGAGATCAAAACACAATTATTGTTAAAGACTAGTCTATCTATTTCAGTAAGAAAATAGCAAGGACTGGAACAATTACATAAACTACTCCGCATAGGCTGCCTTTTGCTTAGCTTATGATGCTAATCTCTAAAGGTGCACCTTCAAAGTACTGAAGGAACTCCTTTTACAGGAAGACTAAATAATTTAAGCAGCTAGCTTTAAAACTAGTTCTTGAGAAGGTCTGATCTATCTGCTCTCACAAACTGACCCTTGTTTTCCCAATCTAAGCTGGTTTTATTATTCATGCAATAATTGTGTTGCTCATAGATCTTACTTTGACACAAATAATCCTTAACTCTTACTACTTGTTTTTACAGCATAAGCACAAAACCAGACAACAGTCAGTGTTTAATCATGACAGACCTCTGATCTGCTCTATATAAACAACAGATGAATAAAAAAGGCTCCACCTCTTCAAACAAGTTTGGAAGAAAAATTTGATAATTTAATTCTGTAAAACAACACTGGATTAAACCATACTGATTTCTTAACTGCAGAAAAAGTTTAAACCACTGATACTGCTACAGAAGGTCCAATAACTAGAAACAAAGGCATACGGATAATTTAACTGACTTAAAAGTTAGTTCCCAGTTTCACAACAGATTTTATAATTCAGAGACCAAAGATAATAGAATGGCCTTGATTTCTATTTATTATTATGAACAAATAATGAGGGATTCTTCAGCTAAAACACACTGATGTGTCAATGTACAGCAACCTACTACACATCAGAATGGTTTCATTTTATGGGGTGTTTTTTTTTAATATCTCACCAATCACCAATCTGCATCTTACCAATCAAGTCACCAATCAAGAAAAACAGATCATTTACATTATGTTTACCTCATATAATTGCACTCTAATTCTGTCTAGATGTAAAAGTCTGTATTTTTTTTTAAAATGTCCCTTCCTACATCTTAGCTGGTTGTGTACTTGTTCATAGTGGTTCATGAGGATAGTGATTGTTTTGAACAAAATACTGGGGGAGGGACGAGAGGTAGCCTTCAGAAATCAAAAAAACGTGCAACATGTCCACACTTCACTATCTAACCTAACCCAGTACCACAGAAAAACATATTAATGCTAGGTTTCCAAGCTCTCCACCCCCCTCTGTTCCCAACGTTCTTAAGCATGGCTGCAAGCAGGCAAGAAGAACAGGAAGAAAATATCCAAAAGTACAAGTGTTCTTGCTTTAAGATTTAGGACTACTGTCATAAAAGTCAAATAAAGTGTAAGAACCAGAATGATAAAAACCGACTGAGATAACATCTAAGTATCTTCCCTGTAATACTCAACTGTAAATAAAGCTACCTTAAGAAGCAAATTATAGTCACAATTAAACACAGAACGGATACCCTACAAATACAACACAATAAACACAGAATTGGAACTGGTAGTACTCTGGCCAAATTTCATAGAAACTTCGTGTGAACAACTTAAATGCTCCAGAAGCCAAAGCAGTGTTTTGTTTTGTTTCTCCAAAATTCTTCTGTTTGCAAATGCCCTACAAATATTCCAGATGAAGACTAGATTTCTGCATAGCAAATTCATGACTGGCAACTGGTTTGCTTTTCCTAGTTAATTATCAGGTATCTTTCTCCCCTCCCTCCGTAGTAGCCTATAGGTCGACAGGAACGAAGACCATGGCTCTAAGTTGGAAAAAACAATAAACTAAGACAGTTTCCGTCCAATATTAACAAAGATACCAGATTAACAGCAAAACGAAATTAATTAAATGTACTGCTGTTAGCACTTTCCTGCCTCTTGCAACAACTCAAAAGACCGCAGAAGATAAAACAGGAGAGTTACCCGCAGCTTTCTTCTCTTGGAATTCTATCAGCTGCGTGGGAAGAAAGTCACCAGCAGACACTTTCCCTCACCACAACAAAAGCACAGGAAAACAGCCGTTTGCGTGGAACGCACGGTATGAGGCAAAAATTACTTTTTATCAAGGTGCAGGACAGCTAAAACCAACAGGAAAAGTAAGATAACGTACGCTTTTTGATTACAAATTCCTTTTACAGTCTCTGCCCTAGTTACCTTCCTCCTCTTCAAATAAACTGCCTTTGGTCCCTGGATCCCCTGCTCAATGGAAAAGGGAATTCCATTCTCAATGGACACTTTCATGCAGACCATTAAAAAGAGAGAGACACAGGAATGCTCCTTACTCCCAGACAACGGGGGAGGGTAAGCAAACAGTGCTTACACGCATACAGGGCGGACGCCTCCCGCAACTTCAGCTGTGGAGCGGGAGCAACGCCCTCAGGGGGAGGCAAAGAACCGGGGTTCACGTAGCCCCGCCAACCGGCCCGGGGACGGCCGAGGGCGCGGGGGACCACCAGCGCCGCTCTCCCCCCGAGCGAGCCGGC